TGCAGCCCCCTCAGCCCTCCCCCTGGCTACGCCACTGCTTATAATATATATAATGTAATATATTATAAGTCTATGGAGTAATGTACTTATATGTATACACTTTACTTGTCACATATTTATTTTAATAACTGCATTCTCMCTAAAAATTAATGAGTAATAGCATGTGATAATAAGTGATAAATATGGGACGAATATTATATTCAGCCATTCGCAGATAACGCATCTCAATGAAAGACTCGTCGTTAATATTCGTGCCTCGTGGTACTTAAAATTGTGTATAATGACGAGGTTGGCTATGACTCCATCAATAATAATATATATTGTGTAGGTCTGACGTCACTAAGGACCAGAAAAAAATACAAATTCTTAGATTTTCAATTTCATTATATTTTCCAGTTAAAAAGTGGAACTAGTTGGAAATTATAGATGGTTTAGGGATTAGGGCGCTTAGATAATATGTATTATCTATCTATCCGAAAAATGATATTATTCTTAATAAAATAATCTAATTTGATTTCATTCTTCATTATTTTCAATTGGAAATATTTTTACATATTTGTTTACACTTGATTGTGTATATTTTATTATCAAATACAAGTTTATAGAGTGTTTGAAAAGAGGTCTTCGTTATCTAATTTACTATAATAATATGTAGTCGATAATCGACATTCATTTATCTTCAAAAATTTAAACATTCGTGTAGACTTGTAGTATTAATGTAACCATGTAATTATTTTAATCATGTAGACAATAAGTATAGGTATTAAGCATTAAATATTAATTTATAGTATAGGTAGCTACATTATTAGTTGTTTGTTATCTTTATATTTTGGATTAGTTTTAATTAATTTTAATGATCACAGTATTTGTAATTTGTTATATTTTTGTATTAACACTTTCCCAATAGGTACATGGTTCTTAAACCATTATAAATATGTATAAATTATCCAAGCTCAATATTTATTAGGTATACCTAGCATATTATTTTTATTCATTTTGATGTCCACCCATCAAAAGTTTGTTCATCAAATACATTGTTCCAATATATACTGTATAATATTATAGTTTATATATTCTATTAATGTTTAAATTCTAATGTTAGTTTACTTTTACTTTTAACAAGTTCATTAAATCTGATGATTGTTAGTACTAAGTAGGTAACTAGGTAACAAATAMTTTATACTTATATTATGATAAGTAGGTAATAGAAAACATTTTGGATAGATTTTATAGTAGATAGGCTATAAATTAATAGCCAGAAAAAATAATAATATTAATTGAATATACTGGTGTCGGTGATAACATAATTTTTACTCAGTTGTGTCAATATGTTCTCCCAGCCTACCTCGGTTTACCTGGTAAACTCGTAACGGACTAATACCTACATTATATTTCATTGACTAATTTACCATTTTACCACCCTCATTCCTCAATATGATCCAATATTTCACTTTAAACAATGTAAACTACATATTATTGTTTCTACACAAAAGCCTTAAAGTACTATTGTGTAATTTTTCGGCAGCAGACCCAGTACAATAAAATACTAATATAGTACTAATATAGTAGTTATATAATAATATATGGTTTACTGGTTTGTATTTTGTACGTTCGCACTTATAGACGTAATTTAATATTATGACAATCATAATAATATAATATACCAGCTATACCTACGGTTATAAGACAGAAAATAGGTTCATAATACGATATACCTACCTAGATAAACATGAACTTATACATGAGTTATTTGAATATTATTTACGACAGAAATGCGAAGAAATCGCAATAATATATAAGATTATAGTACTACCTAATAAATCATAAATAATAAACTACCGATGAGTCAGATAAGTCAGTCAGCCTTTCTTCAGCAGTTCAACTGTTACAATTTTAATATAAGTGCGATCGTTCTAACAAAATTATTATATTACATAATCTATTATGTAGGTATTTTAACTATAGGGGCGGTGTCCTCCAGCTTTGGTCGGGCTACACGAATATTATCATTAAGTGTCAAAAAATATATTATTTTCAATATAATAAATTATTATGGGTATTCGTAAAATACAGCTTTAGTCGTTGTCAGACGTTTCGTAATACACGTCATAAACTCACGAACGTTTTAAAACGTTAATGCACGAGTGTGCGATGCATATTGTGTGTACGTAATAAGTCTATTTTTTTCCTTCACAAACCCGACGACTTACGAGTTACAACACCGCAGTCGGTGCTTTTATTTGTTCACGAGAACGCGCGCACGCTGGCCCCTGATACCTCCTATTATTGTACATGTGAGAAAAAAAAATTAGATTAATTTATGATTTTTTTTTTTTTTTTTATAATAGCCTTATAGGAAATAGAGTCCGTCCGTCAGCAAAAGCAAACAAATTGCCAAAACTAAATACACTATTTACCAGTTACCACCGCCTCGGCCGTATCTATCTACAGATAATAATATCATAGTCCAAGTGGTGGTCGGGCATCGGCAGGCAGACGTGTTTGCGCGTGCGCAGTGTCGACGACGTATTATCACACGCACACATATGTACACTCGCACACCGACGGTATCATCAATCGTGTCTGTTTTTCTCCGTAAAAAAAAAACAAAATATAGGTATTGAAAAAAATATCGCCAAGAGTCGTCGACTCGTCGTGAACGGCCGACGGTTGCGCGCGTGTTGGTGCTCCGCTATCCAATTACGGCGGGCGTGCGTTTGATTTGTGCAAGCGAGTAAGCTGGGCGGCTGTGCAGTTGTGATGGCGATTAGGTAACCGACAGTTTAGTCGATTCTGGGTTTAATTATTTTTTGAGCGCCCACGGAATTCCCCGAATCGAATATACGACGCTCGCAAGCTAGCCCTTGCAACACGAGTATCAAGAAACCATCGCTGTGTACACGTGATGAATGCAATTGTCGTGGACGGTTCTGAACAGACGACTGCCTCTGTTGCCACTATTACCATCGATTGCAAGACCAAGACGCCATAGCTGTCGGCCAGCAGGCCGACATCTAGTAAGATAGTCACTAACTGAGTGCTATGCATCGTGTCAATGTTGTCGGTAGTGGTGGCGGAAGTAGTCGTCGCTCCACTGTGGTTGTTGAAGAGTCTGATGTGACGGCGTCAACGACATTTGTGGGAGTAGACGAACATGATGACGACTTTGCTGTAGACGACAAAGCAGCAACAACAACTCTTATTTATGTCAAGAAAGAAAGTATGGATGATGATGATGACAATAATCATCAACTGATTCAATTGCAGCATCAACAGCAACACGACACAAACGAAATAGAAGATGTRAGTATTAATCAATAACATGGTAGATACCAAATGTTATCGATATTGTTATGTTTATTTTATTTATCAAATATTTATTTTTAACAAATCAAGATACATTTTCCAGATATATTCATATCATAGTTCATGTCTTACATTCCATCAATGTACAACTTTTATTGTTAGGTAATATTTATAAAAWATAAACTAATTAAATAAATTATGTTACATACATGTTCTATACTTTTTGAAGAATTGTTTGTTATGAAGTGTTTTATTAATAATTGTCACTAATACATTTTTTTAACCAGGTATTAATTATCATCTCTAATTAGTTATTTTAACAAATAAGTGTACCTATGTACCAAGTACATTAATCAGATTTAATTTTTGCTGATAATTTTATTTTTTGGTACCTAAGTAAATCCATGAACCTATCAATTAAAATTTTTTAAATAGGTAGTAGGTACCTTTAGTCATTTTTTATTATAAAGKAAATTATATTAATTTTGTAAAAATTTATTTTTGATTAATGATAAATTATATACCTACCTAAGTATGTATTAGGACTATAAACTTGTTGTTAGAGCACACCTATGAAAACACCAACACACAATGTACTAGTGTAGATTATTACTTAATTTAGCACTCTGATGATCAGAAATAAGAATGAGAATAAATAACAATTTTTTTTACCAGCTTGCTAAAAACCAGAATTAGTATGTAAGTTTAAAATGGTTAAGCCGGCTGATATGTCCGGCTAATTTTATATATAGKTTTATGCATAATATATATTTTTGGAATAAATGTTATTTTCACAATTCTACTATAGTAAAAAAATCAAAATTATACCTATCTGATTACATTCCTGGCCCCACCATTTACAGCACATTCTGCAATTATCCCAGATTTATGGAGATACTAAAATTTTTAAAAACCTGCTAGTAGCTGTCTAATCCAACCAATCATCATCCAGGCTTTTAAACATTTTTATATTAAATATGAAATTGAATGACCTTAGTATATATATTTTTTTTGGTACCTAAGTATAATCTCAACAATATTACAAATATATACCTATATAAATACTAYAATGTATAATACAATCCTATATTAAGTATGAATAAAATGTAAAAAATAATTATTATCGTGTTTCGATACATATTTTTTCTAAATTATTTTTGTTATGTACTTTACCTAAAACTAACTGATATTAAAATGATAACTAATTTGTAATGTCTCGTTGAATATTTAAAATAGACAAATCAGTGATCCTTTATTGTTATATAACTACTCATCATTAATCTTTAACCAATTTTTGATTTGGCTATCATTGAAAAATGCTTGCCTCTTGCATAATTTACTGGAATAATGATTGCAATTTAAAATAACTCTTACAAGTTAAACCTCTTTTAGTTTGGTACCTATTCCCCAAATTTAATGGCATTGTTAATATTAACTGTGGTAATTATTATTATTATTATCAAACCTTTCTACAATTAATCTTAAACAAAATATTTTATRACTCAATTAATGCTAATATAATGAATTTGAACAATCAAAACAATATTTATTAAAATTTAATATCTATTCAAAAATGAAGAATTATGGCTCTAATTGTTTGGGTTATTTATTTTGAGCCTGGGTACACTAAAAACCTTTTATCACCTCTCCCCTCTAGTTTTTTTTTATAGTCCAGTCAGATAAATAATTCTCTGTGGATATACACCATGGTCGGGATTATAGTAGGCGTCCTACCATGATCGGGATTATAGTAGGCATCCTACAATTATCAGACTGATAGTAGGTGTCCTACTATGATCGGATTGATAGTAGACGCACAACCATATTGACAATACAGTGAAACCGTACAAATAATATAGTGGACAGCCATGGGGAATTAAAAAWGGTCCACTATAAGAAAAACTCTACAAAATGGACATTTGGGAGAAATTACTAAATGTCTACTATAGGGAGATGTTATAAAGAATTGGTTATGCATTTACATATTCATACATTTAAATTGGTACATATTAATTTATTATTTATTATATACACAATATTCAAGTGTTTAATAGTGGGTATAAAAATGTTTAATGTTTATGTACCATTAAAAATATTTATAATCATTTTTGTGTAAATTTTTTCTGCTCTTTGTAATGATATGTATATGTATTATGTTCATTTGTGAAAGGTAATTAATAATTAGTTATTACTGAAAGTATACAGTTTATACCACCTTGTATACCACTGTACTTAGGGATACTTTATACCACGGACATCCCCAGAGGGGGGCAAGACAGGCATTTGTCCCCCTATAACTTTAAATTTATTTTTYAAAGCATTATCTGTAAAACTGTTAAACATCAATTAAGTAAACATGTATAGATTACTTTTAAAATGTAGCATAAAATGCATGAAAAAATCTTTATTTAAAAAAAAATTAATTTCCTCCTCTCCTTTGAAAAATGTCTGAGGATGCCCATAATTTACACTAGCTATTTTTATTATATATTTACCAATAATTTGTATTAAATATCATTATTACTTTGTATTTATTTGTTTACAGATGTATCGTCGTCACCGCCGCCCTAGATTAACTGCAGCAGCCGCTAAACATCAACAACTTCAGATTCAACATAATCAGCAATTTGATAACATCACATCATCATCAGTATCAACCACCACTGCCAATCGCCAAGAACGACTTATGCTAGTGTCTGTTGATTCTGCTAATATTGGAAACAGCCGACACCGCCAACCATCATCGATTGCTCAATTTTGTTGTTCAAGCACTACTGCAGCAGCAGGGATACAACAACAGGTAACAATTTTAAATAGTAGTTAATTTTTTTTTAAATTATTTATAAAATATCTTGAATAATATTACCATTTAAAACACTAAATGGGTTCAAAATTTTTTTTTAAATAGTCATATTTTCAAATAAGTGATTCAATTATGATATAATTTTGAATACCAATATTATAAGGTGTTTCATAAWAGACAGATGGCATTAATACTATTATTCACTTTGTATTTCTTGCCGTTATATATCCGCATGCACATTAAATTTAACATTTAAAATACTTGTGACTGTATTTGAATAATTCATTGTCGTATAAAATTGTTATTGCAATATTTTTGTGTGATAATAATAGTGGATCACCAATGTTGTTGATACAAATGCACATATTGTTATGATTTTATTATGGTGATTATATTTATGTCATCTCTAGCTGGTTATGTAATAACTCTGACTTCTGCCTTGTTTTCRCTGCAATCGGTTGTTTGTTGTAATTTGTAGTATGTACTGTTACGATTAGATATGCATCACTAACGAAATCTAGATATCTAAAAATACTTACTATTATACAATCTGTATTTATTTTGTCTAAATTACAACTTTTTATAAATAAATTATATTGTAATTTACATGAATCAAAAATACTTACTATTATACACATTTGTAATAAAGTTACAAGTAATAACTAATAATATTACCTTTATATAAATCACTTATTGCGAGTACTAAGCTTTTATAAACACTATTATGTATCTTCTATTACCTTTTCRTTGTTTTCTTTTTTTCTGTAGCATCAACACCATCATAACCAACAACAACAACAGCAGCAACAAATTCCTCCTACTACTGTTGTAATGATCAAAGAAGAAGATGTCTCCATGTCAGCCGTTGTTGGTGGTGACAGCTTACATCACCATCATCATCATCATCAACAACACCAGCATCATCATCAACAACAACAGCATAATATGACCACGGCAGCAGCTGTAACTATCGTCTCTAACAATAACAACAGTAACAATGCCACTTCCTCGTCACCACCTCCTCCACGACGGCTGTGTCTGGTATGYGGTGACGTTGCCTCAGGCTTCCATTATGGTGTTGCATCATGTGAAGCTTGCAAGGCATTCTTCAAGCGCACCATACAGGGTTTGTACAAGCCCTTGTTCTGTTTTTTTAAAAACCTTTTTCCTTAAAACATCACACACATTTAACCGACCTGCTTCCAATTTCCCTTGTATCAGGATGTGGTATCCCTTCACATTATAATTACAACAGCTATCTGTTATTACTTCCATTATCACTACCACTAAATTCCCTGTTGTGAAATATTTTAAAGTATACAATGGTAATTGAAAGTAATTAACTATTATACATGCTATATAAATGTTATAAATTGTACATATAAGTTATATGTAAATTACAAATACACTTAATTTTAATATGAAGGTAACATTGAATATACATGTCCTGCCAGTGGAGATTGTGAAATCAATAAGCGACGGCGAAAAGCATGTCAGGCATGTCGAATGCAGAAATGTCTGAGGACAGGTATGCTCAAGGAAGGCGTGCGCCTGGATCGGGTGCGAGGTGGCCGTCAGAAGTACCGAAGACAGCCGTCAACTCCTATACCTACTGCAGCGATCTCTGTTGTCCAATCAGCACCGCAAACTGTGCAACAGCAATCTACTGCAGCGACAACTGTTAATAACTCTATTCACCACCATCATCATCATCATACGCACAATAACAATGCTGCATCGTCTATTCATCATCACCACCATCAACAGCAGTCTTTTAACAATGCTTTCAGCAACAATAAAATCATTACCACTGGAAACTACCATCACCACCATTCATATCACCATCAACAATCGACTTCAGGGCCTCGTAATATTTGTTATAATAGTAGTAACGGTACAACCACAGCAATGTCGGTACACAACAGCCGGCATCATCACCATAGATCACTTAATAGCAATGGGGGTGTGACTGGTGGTTGGAACAACAATAATGACGATGGTGTGTGTATTAAACAAGAGTTTGAGCTGCAGTGTTGTTGTAATGATTCTACACCGGCTGTTGATGCAATTAGGGAATGTGGTAAGTCTTAAAGGTGTTATTATTTTATGAAATAGTTTTAAAAGGTTTTAGAAAATTAATTATAGAGTCGCTGAATTTTAAATTTTAAATGTTTTAATAATTTGTGTTAAATATCTTTAAAAACCTGACAGTTGAGTTAAATTGTGATATTAAATTAAAAAGACACCGAACCATCACATTATCGTTGTCTTAAATCTGTGTTCAGCATCACCAATTTYGAGTTATTATATTATTAAACTTAAAAATAAGAATAATGTACAGGGTATTTCTAAGGTTTTTTTTTATCAATATTAATATTGTAAATCAAGTTTTTTCAACATAAGCATTTTGAAATTGTATTATTTTACATAATACTTAACTTGCTTTAAAATTAAAATATTAGTACAAATCTATAAGAAGCTAAAGATTATATTCTCATTTTTAAGTTGGATGATATAAATTCACTTTAATATTTAGGTTAATTACACAAATTTGGTATTTTTGAACGACCTGAATGCAAATTTGGTATGTTACGTAGTTTCCTATATATGTTCATAAGATGGAGACAAAAGATGTGGATTCAGTTCTCTTAAGAGGATATCAGTGCACTATTTGTGTTCTTTCTCTGGAATCCCTGGTTTCACACTTACAACTTAGACAAAACGCAGAATCATTTTTTTTTTATATTTTTAAATAATCTTAGAGTAAAATGACTTATTACATAAAGGATAGAGAATTATATTTTTGAGGGAATGACATATCGATACTATATATTATATTAAATATAATATATTATTTGATTTTATATTCGAATTTCAAAATAAACAAAAAAGTTTTGTACATTTTAATGATGTTTTAATTGTTTTGAGACAATATTTAGGTAAATCGATGTTTGATTCCTTCAAAAATATTATTCTCCGTCTTTTTGAAATGGTTGATTTTACTCTCAGATTACTTAAAAATATTTTTAAAAAAATGATTTTTCATAAAGCGTTTTGTCTATATTGAGCGTGGGCAGAGAGAGAGAGAGAAAACAAATAGTGCGCTAACATCCTCTTAAATATTAAAACATCGTATGGAGTGTAATTAGTAGTTATAAATATAAATATTTTTGTTTTGAATATTATAATATTTATTAAATGCTGTAAAACATAAACCGTGATCGTTTGGTTTTCTTAGAAAAAATGTTGGAAGCCCTTAGACAATGTGAACCTGAGATGCCAACCTTATTAGGTGTCGGGGACGGATCAACTAACGCTGCAATCACTATGGAGTTTTTCACACAGTCCTCGACGCTGGGGGTGAAACAAGGAACGGCAACTGCAGTGACTATGGGTGGTAGTCTAGTCGAAGATGGTATATCATCAACATCTTCGCCATCGTCATCGTCATCATCCTCGTCGTCAGCATCAGCATCGTCGTCACCAACGGTGGCTGCTTCTATGGTGGTGCATACTCTCGCTGAACTATATGACAGAGAGTTAGTAAGCACCATTGGTTGGGCCAAGCAGATACCCGGTTTGTATAAAATTAATTTATCTATGCATACATAAATATATATTTACATAGTTTATAGATACATAGTAAGTCAAAATTTAATGCTAAATAGAACGTAATATTAAAACGTTCTTCAAATTTTTAGATCTATTAGTGTTTAAAATGAATTTGTTATAAATTAAATTGTGAATAAATAATTATTTTCAAAGTTTCATCGTTCGTTTTTAAAGGTAGCGTATTTTATTCCTTTTTTATCAACGATAATTCACTTGGTTTATATGACAAATCGATTTAACATCCATTAATAATTTTGATATCGGTTAGGTTAGGTTAGGGTTAGGTTAGGTTTGATTTACTATCGACAGATTTATTTTTACCTGCAGGGTTCACTGACCTGTCGCTCAATGACCAAATGCGCTTATTGCAATCGACTTGGGCAGAACTATTGACATTAACCACGGCATTCCGTTCTTTGGAACAGTTTAATGGTCAAAATGGTGACGGTATTAGTGACATTAATAGTATTGGCGTTGTCAGCGAAGAATGTAGTGGCAATGGTCTTAGGTTGCGGTATGCTACAGACTATTGGTTGGACGAAAAGTTGGCTAGAGAATGTTGTTCTGCGACCAACAGCGCCACTTCATCGTCAAATGGTTCAACTACCACCTCTAGTACGACTAGCGGTACAGGAGTGATAACAACTCCAACTGTGCTGGACATTTACAACTTGGTTAGTATTATGGATCAACCTTAAAACTTACTAATATACATGAATTATGAGTCCATAATGTTTTCTTTAAAAATCCTTAAAATAATTTTTTAATAATTTATTAAAATAAATAATGTCGTTAGTATAAATTATAGATAGTATGCTAATAGATAATTTACACCTGCAAGAAAAAAAAATTAAAGATCAGAGATGTTTTTTTAGGTACAGTGTATTGGATAAATATTTAGGAGCATGCTAGTTTTGTTCGGAATTATATTAAATTAAATTTGTTTATTGTTGATTTGCGTTTCTGTGGCAATATACAAATACAGTATAGACTCAGTTATCCGAATCTCCGTTATATGAACCATCCGCTATTATCGAATATACCCTCCTACCCGAATTTCGTCAAAAGGTAATATATTCCCATATGTAATTATTTGGATCATATATTTCTTAATACATAATGTAATTCTATAATAATAATAAATATATTATACATAATAACATACAATTTATAATTATATGTAAAAATAAATTATTTTTAATCAATTTCCAGTGTCCGAACTAAACGCTGCCCCAGTTAAATCGGAAAATCGAGGTACTACTGTAATTAAAATAAACAAAAGAAAATTTCTTATTTAAAAATTATAGTAAAAAATAACAAATTAATTTTTAGTAGTCTATATAATGTTAATTTTCAAATATATTCTATGAATAAAAGTAATTTGCTATTATTTTTTTTAAAAAAATAATTTATATCAAAGTGCAAGCGTGTRTAGTAATTTATTTTATTCTTAAAGGTTTGAAATATATGTATGATGATATTTCGATTTGTATTAGTGTACACCCATAGGCTGAAATCCATTGAAGTCTCAGCTAAGGCTAACGTTATTAACATCAAGTTTAGCGGGAGCCTTCGATTTCATAAAATTAAAAAGATATGAGTATACTCGAAAACCAATCATAAGATTTTAAAAAAGTAGTTAGAGTAGTTAATAATATTTTGAATGTTGATGTTTAAAAGAAAGTGTTACTACAGTTTATTTGTAAATTTTCCGTTTATCCGTAATTGAAAGATACGTAGATAACTGTAATAGGCATTTAAAAGTACGATTTGATAGCCCATTATTATTTCATCCTTAATACATAAGTTTATGTTAGCTTTATTGTACCTGTATCAATCTAATACTTATTTGCATAATATGCCGACCAATCGTTATTTCTGCATAAACTGCTTATCGTAGTTTTATTACATTTATCTCAAACAAAATGAAAAATAACACGTCGTTATTCGTGAAACATTTTATGAAGTCATAATTATAAAAAAATTACATTAATATTCTGGTGTAATAGTGTTAATTTTCTAGTATTCTCTACAGAGCATCGTCCCATTATACGCAATTATCTCTGTAAAATATCTATGTAGACCAGTGGCGCACTGAGACCTAAATTTCGGGAGGGAGGTGGGGGTTAATTTTTAAATTTGTTCCATATTGGAAGATCTGACACCTGACCATAACAAAACATATTGTACATTTTAATAGACTACTCATTTTTATTCATGTTATTATTTTCAATTGTCATATCACCCTAAATTTCAGTTTTCTCATAGTATAAAAAAATCCATTATAGAAATTTAGGGGGGTTTATCCTCCCCCGTTATTACGCCACTGATATGGGCATAATTATTTGAATTCTACAAATCCATTATATATACTCAGGTTATTCTAAGAGCTCAATGAGCGGCAGACGAAGTCAGGCTATATAATCCAGTCGCAAAAACCTGTCCGTCGCTCCGCATCGGCCCCCCTCCCATATCTCGAACCATACCTCTGTATACATATGGGAATGGTGCCCATAGTGGGAGATGCATGGTTTACAGTCGTACTCTCGTAGGTTGGGGTATAGTTAGCACGTCCTCACCACTTCACAGGTTGTATGCCGTACCTATGCTCGAGTGCGGTCTGTTCTTATTCTGAATAAAGTATAGCTTCAAGCTTGATTAATTTTGGATCGTAAAATAATAATAATAAATTTAAATTACGTAAATTAATTTATTATAGTTTATTATTACAATTATGTGTATTACATAAAAATTAAAAGCATAACATTAACAATATTTTATTATGGTTTATGTGCTGCTTAGTCAGCTCATATAGTTCGACAATTTAAGGCAGTAAATGGTGGTGAAGGCTTGACTTCCGATCAGTACTATCTGCTCAAGGCGTTAGTYTTGGCTAATTCAGATGATCTAACATTAGCATCATCATCGGTAACGACAGCGACATCCACTGGAAAAAACCTCGGTACCAACAAATCGACGTCTAAAGGCGAAGAAGTGGTGGTCCAGCAGCTGCAGCCATCAGCTGTCAAACAGTTCCGTTCTACCATTGCTCGTGCTCTTCAAACCCATCTTGAAATGACCGTGGCGTCAGCACCGAATTGTTGTTGTTGTGATGGTGGTACTAATTGTTGTTCTGCGCCAAGCATGTCTATGGATTGCTGTGGCAACGGTGGAACCACCACTTCTGATGCCAGTGGAATGACTACAAATTGCTGTAACTGTTGCTGYAACATTAATAGCAACAACAATACTGCCCCAAATCAGCTCGACAATGGTGGCGAAATCGTTGTCGTCGTTGACAATCACCAACAGCAGCATCATCATCAACCACAACAACGTATGGATACCACTGGCGGCAATACAACCATATCCACTACAGAAGCTTCTGCGGCTACAGTAGTTGTCGTCGGGTTAGTAACATGCCTAAAGCTATTAAAAATGGATTTTTTTTATTATTTACTAATACTTATTACCACTTTTGTTTGTAAACAGCACCACCAACAATGTAATGATGGACGATGACGATTGTTGTGGAAGCACTCCATTAGTTGACAATCAACAACTCCATCATCATCATCATTCTCATCACGCAGAATCTACAGATTCTGCTTCGTCTAAACTCGTACAATTGCTTATGTGTTTGCCTGCGCTTCGGCAAGCCGATCAACTAATCCGGCAGTACTGGACCCGAGTTCACCGGGAAAATCAGCAACAATTAGGTGCTGCCACACCAGCTCCACAACCACAGATCACAGTCCCTACAGGTACTGAAATAGGTTTTCCTAGGSAATCTACAGCGGCTAATCATTTATCATCCATAGGTAATGATGGCGGTGGTACACCTGTTGTCAAAATGAATAAGCTGTTTGTCGAAATGCTGGAGGCCTGTCTGCGGTAATTACATTATTCGGTGGTCGTCACACTGCTCCTATATGTATTCTGGGTGGTGTTTCGGCGTTAATAGCAGTGGTAGACATCACAGACTTTTAAACTATGTAAGATATAATAAAACTCGTGTAATCAAATGAGGCATCATAACACATTATATTGGTTGGAAAATTAACATGGATAGAGATTGATAAATCATTCTATCGCTATATAGTTATTGATATTGTATAATATATAATAGTATATAATTTGTATTTTTCTATATTTACAACCAAAGACTTGGAAAATAAACATCAACTGTTTATATGCAAAACATTCCGGGTTATTTATCTAGTTTAGTATGGAAGTCTGTGGGTAGTGTTAAATAGTTTTACAATAGTTGTAGTGTTTTGTTTTGTTTTGTTTTTTTTTTGTTTATTAATAGTAATAGTGACGGAGACACTAAACGTTGATATGAGCGTTGATGTGTTTCCATTAAATAATAAATTCATTAGCGCCATATATTTTTAATTTTTGTTAGAATTTTTCAAATTTGTGTGACAGTTACATATATTTGTTTCATATTTATTTATCACAATACCCTCCTCTCAAAAACATACCAAAATTATTGTTGTATGTGTAAATTGTATACGAACTGGATGTACGTTTATGTTTTGAAATATAATAGATATTTATAGTATGACTTTTATGATTTTAATTATAGACAAACGTATATTTTTAAAAATATGTACATACATATATATGTATACAATTTATACAATATATATGTATGTATAGTTTTAGTTTTATAATAATAATATTTTATTGCCAATCATTGTTATTGTTGAGATTGTTATAGTTTTTTTTCTCTTTTATCATTGTTTGTTGTTAAATATTTTTAATAATATAAAATATACGTTACTATACGAGTATCCACAAAATTCATTTCAATATATCTTTGTATTTTATTGAGTAATTTTACAATGGTAGCAACTTGCTAGTTTCTTATGTAGGTTATATATTGTGTTATTTAATATTTAATCAATCAATTTGTATAAATGAGAAAGTAACATGATAGTACAAACTGTTTAATGTTCCTTTAAGATCTGAATACATAGACTCTTAGACTTTATAAAATCTAAAATTTAGTAGTTCAATGTACAATTTGTAGCCTATTAATATATAATATTTCAAATAATATTAAATATATCTATAAGAAGGAGAAAAGGACTCAAAAATAAATATTTAACTTTAAGTATCATGCATTACATTTGTTAAATTTGATATTTAAACTTCATATCATATATCTGTTAAATAATATTTTTATACTAAATTAATTTTGAGTAACTACAAATAATAACTTGATAGCTAAATTTTTTTTTCTAATAATAGCTATTAAAGAAGAAAAATATTAAAATATAATTAATGAAGGTTGAATACAATTGCTTACATATTTTCTCTGATGCTCAATGTATTTCTAGCGTTCCTCGCTACCCAGGTCTTAGCAGTGTTCCAAGTGGAGGGGAGGTTAGGGACTTTGCTCATGTATTGTATTGTAATTTTTTTTTTAGCATAYCTATTTATTTGATCTGTTATTATTTATTACCTACCTGCTATGTTAAATATGCCGAAGTGTCCGAATTGGTTCCGAAACGTCCGAATTGGTTCCCGGGTTCTTTCAAAAGGTATATCCGAATTGGTTCACGGGCTGTTACAAAGGGTATATCCGAATTAGTTCCCGAGTTGTTAAAATGTTGACTTAATAAATAATATATAACAAACATTTTTTAAAAATTAAAATCTTAATTTAAAAATATAAAATAAATATAGGCGGTATATCGTTTTTTTTTTATTCCTTAATTTTATTTATAGTTATTATTTTCTATTATTGAGGTAAAACTTATAACAAATATTTTTT